GGTTTCACTGCCCAGGCGGGTCTCGAACCCGCGGGCTCAGGCAATTCACTCACCTCAGCCTCCCAAAAGCGCGGGATTACAGGCTGAGCCACCGAGCCTGGCACTGGAAGACATTTCTATAGGTGAAAGGTGAAAAGTGAAAAAGGAATTCCTGACTAGAGCTGAAAGAGGAAAGTGAGATCACTAAGGCTAAGTGCTAAGAGTAGGGGAATGTCGGGGAACAGGGCATCTGCGATAATGGGGAGGCGCTTCAATGTCAGTATCTCAGGGGCTTCCAGCACCTTCTGAGAATGGGAAGGGGCAGACTGCTGGTTAAGGGGCCCAACCACACAGGTTTGTGGCAGAGCAGGACTTGCCTGGAGATGGGCAGCAAGCAAGGTGCAGATGGCACGCTACTTCCTGCCTATTTAAGAGAGGTGTAAGGCGGGGCAGAGAGGTCCTTCCCTCTGACATTCCTTATTCCCCACCGTGGTTAAGGAAGGCAGAACCTAGACAAACTCAACCCCATCCAAATAAAGTGTCTCCTGAGCCTGCCAAGACAAAGCTGTCCTGGAAGGAAAAGTGCTTCACTTTAGGCTGAAAGGGGAGATGGGCAAAGGAGACTGGAACCTAGTAGTGCTGGAAGCCCTTCTGTGCCTCTAGGCAATGGGTCTTAAGTTGGAGCATGCCCACAGTTTCCAGGAGCTTGATAAAAACCCCGTCACTGAGCTCCAGGCCAAGGGACCTGATTCAGGATGTCTGGCGGAGCCCTAACGATTCTGATGCTGAGTCCCCAGAGCAGCTTGGAGAAGACTGGATTAGACTGTCATGTGGATGATACATTTGGAGATCACCTCTTTCCACAATAAGGATTTGGGGGCAAATGCATACCTGTCCCACTAAGGATGAGGACAGGGCCTGAAGGCAGCTAAGTCCACACTGTGCAGGCTGGAGGTCTTTCTTTCAAGGAGCTCAAGGCTCTCTCATTCACTAATCCTATGGCAGACGGGGAGTCAGCAGGCACCTGGATTCTCTGCTGCCACTTCGAGAAGAGGGAAACTGAGGCACAGAAAAGAGGAAGGGATTAATCATGGTCAAACCATTGCTTGCAGCAGAGCTGGGGCTGTATCCCAAGCCTCCCAACTCCAACTTGAGCCCGTCCCCTCCTGAGGAAGGGGGCTTGGCTCGGCCTGTGGTATATACCAGGCTCCCTGCCAGGGAGAGCTCTGTCTCCACTGTCTGGGAGCAGCAGCAAGAGGACTTTTCTTGGGTGCTCTGTGCAAAGGGCTTGTGTTTGTTCCATTCTAAAGAAGCCCCAGGAGGAGGTAGAGAAATTCTTGATGCAAGTTCCCCACCAGATGGAGGCTTCCCTGCTTCTGCTGTGGGCGCCAGGGTGAGAAGTCCCAGAGTGATGACTCCTGGGAGCTCTTGCAGCCCAGTCAAGCCAGCTGTCCCCACAGTGGGGTCAGCCTCTACATCTACCAAAGTAGCCTTTCCCTTTGCCATTTAGGCTGTGGGCAGCCTCTCTGGAATGTTCTGAAAGGACTTCCAGAGGGCTAGGTGCTCCTTTAAGGCCCTGCCTCCAAAATTCCCCCACTTCAGGAAAGTCCTCTTGTCACCAGAACAGGGCTGAAATCTTTCCTGATGGGATTATTTCCTGGAGCACCTTAAAAGTGAACTTGACATAAGAACCCTTTCGGCACATTTCCATGCTGTGAGGCATCACTGTGCTTAGAAGGGCCTTGGGAAATAGGTTGTACTCTTCCTAATTCCCTGGCCTCTCTGTGATGTGACCTCCAACTACCTTGTCACTGCCCACTTCCTGGTGCTTGGAGAACACCCCCATCAAAAGCAAATTCTAGGACAGTCTAAAATCTGCAGAGAGCCTATCCCCATGATCCCAGGGGTATGTGTCTCCGAGGCAGTCCCAAGGACTCCCCTCCCTCAGAACATGCCAGGGGCTTCTTGGCTGGTGTGGGGTTATAGGAGTCTCTCGGGAGGCCGCCTAGTACAGTCCTTTGGAACCTCCACTGCTTCCCTGGAGGGCAGGACATGTGGCTTCTGGGTCCCTGACCCCTCCACATAGAGGGCCCCTGTCTCCTCCTTCCTGAGTCCAGCACCTGGGAGGGAGGAAGAAGAGTAGTAGTTAGACCGATCACATGATGACTGCCTTCCATGTCCAACTTCACCCCAGGGACTGTTTGGTGAAGAGAAGATGGTAGAACAGACTAGAGAAGGACCCAGGGCTTTCTTTGCACCTTATCTGTTCCTGCTTTGTTCATTCTTTTATTTTAGTACTGAAGCTCTCAACCAGGGGTGGTTTTGTACCCTAGGGCTATTTGGCAATGTATGGAGACTTTTTGTCATAAATTGGGGGGGAAGGTGCTATTGGTATCTAGTGGTTATCTAATGGATAGAGGTCAGAGATGCTGCCAAAGTTCCTCAATGTGCAGGTGGGATCCCCCAACCAAGAATTATTGGCTCCAAAGTCAACAGTGCCAAGGCTGAGTGCCCCTGGTTGGGAAAGAGGGCATTATCACACACGTCTGGTAGTGTTTGTACAGGTTTGTAGTAGTCCTGTCTCTGTGGAAAAAGGCACTTGCACAAGTGCACACCTGACATCATTTTCTCCTTCACCCCCACAGTCTGGACACTGAGAACAATTCACTCAACAAATGCTTGGGCAAAGCATTCACCAAGTCCTCCCTCCTGCCTCTCCCTGTCTCTTCTTGGTGAGGTAAGGGTTCTCTTCTCTCTGCCTGCCTGTTGTGGCTGCAGGGCCAGCCACCCTGCTTCCTACAGAGCCTCTGTCAACCCTGAGATTCGGTCCCATGGCCAATGACCACAGACTCAGAGGTAAGAATGGGAGCAGCAGCAGCAGCAGGAGACCAGCTAGAGAACATCAACAGAGAGAGCTACTGCTCCATCCCTGAGTGAATATGAATAGCCTGGAGAACCCCAGGGACTAATTGCTTTCTTTGGTTCTCAGTGACTGCTTGAAGAAAGAAAATGTCTTGCTTATGGCTGTTAGTAACTTGCTCTCCCTTTCTCCTCAATACAGCTTCACCCTTGAGTGAGCCCCTGACCCCTAGGGAGGCTGTTTCCGTTCTCCCCTGCCCGTGCAGTTCTTGCCTGAAAGCCCCAGCTTCTCCTCACATTTCCCTCCTCCTCAGCCATGCTGACCTGCACTCGCCTCTTCCCCAGTGAAAAAGCCCTGCAAGGCCCTGAGTCCTGCAGCCTCACTTAGGATGTGATGGCTGCCCTGGCCTGGTGGCCCTCTAGTCATTCTCAGAAGTGGTCTTGACTGTTAAGTGGTGCCACTTGCCAGGCATCATCCAACTGTCAGTGCCTGACGTGTATGAACTCATTCGGCAGATGAGAAACCAAAGCACAAAGGGAGGACCTGCCCAAGGCCACACAGCCAGTTAGCAGGCAGAGAAGCTGCAGAAATCATGCTCTTCTCACTATGTCCTGCTGCCTAGAGCATGTGTGTATTGTCTCTCTAGCTGGGTCTCTAGCTTGTCTCTCCAGCTGGATCCTGGAAGGCAGGCATCATGTCTCGAGTACCCATTAGCCCAACAAATGGCTGGCACATAATAGAAGCCCCACAAATACATGGAGACCCAGCCTATATTGTGAGCTGATGACAAGACCTCTGGTTCAGCACAGGACTGGGAGGCTGGGATTCTCCTGCTGTTTCCCCACATCCGGGAACTCTGCCACGTGTACTTACTCACATGGGAGCGGGCTGGCACCTGGGAGCAGGCATAGACGTGGCTGAAGCGCCGGCCCGAGGAGGTCAGATACCAGTGCTGAATGGCGGGCTGGGGGTCGTACTCTGTGACAGCCACGCCATTCACAGCCGTCATCATGAGCATGTTGAGCACCTCATTGGAGAGCTTGGTCCTCTCGTCAGTCCTGATCCGGTTCATGGCCTTGAACCCCCGTTCACAGCAGGAGGTGGAGACAGGCACACAGACCACCACGGCCATGAGCTTACTCAGCAGAGGGAAGCGGCAGTGCTGCATTAGGGCGTTTTTGCATAGCATGGAGAACGGGAGGTGCTGGGCGATGGCTTTCAGGCCCAGCCACTCTTCCAGCAGAGCATCTTCACTGTATCCTGTGGGGAGGGAGCATTCGAAATACCTGGCAAGGGTGAGAATATCATCGTTCCCAAAACTGGCAAGTTCACTCCCACTTGGCCAGGCCATGGTGTCAAACACCTCCATGTTCTTGAGCTGCGAGGGACGGTCTGCATCAAACCTCTGCTGGAGGTACTCAATCCCTGTCAGGACCACTCTCTCCCTGTCTGCCTGGAACCGCTGTTCCGCCATCTCCGGTCTGTCTAAGCAGATGCCATGGAGCTGCCCATCCTTGAAACTGGTGTTGAACTCTTCTTCTTTAGGCCCTGCCTGGTGACGGAGGTTCTCCAGGGCCACGTAGGCCCGTCCCAGTGCGGCATTCACCTCTGTAATCAGCACAATCTCCTTCTGGCACACCTCAGACAAAGGCCTGTAGATGCTCAGGAAGTCCAAAAGAAAGTGGCAGAACTTGACGAAGTGGAAGCCCCTCATCAGCTTCAGCATTCCCTTGGCCCGTTGCCCAACCTGTCCCCCGGCCTCCGCCACACTCTGGAGGTGCTTGGCCAGGGCAGGCCAGCTCACGAGCAGTGCGTTCAACGTGCGCCTCTCACTGGCCACCCACCTGACGGCATTTAGGTCCTTCAGGCGGATGATCTCCTGCTCCAGTGGAGCCGCGCCTTCCTGTAGCTCACTCAGCCTCTTGTTTGAGGACTGATAGAACTTGAAGACGGTTCGGATGTGCCGGTCACACTTCTTCATCAGATCGATGTTCCCACACGCATCTACCACGGCCAGGTGCAGCCGGTGGGCCACGCAGTGAACAGGCAGTAGCTGGGGTAGGACTTCCTGGAACTTTTCCACAAGGCCTCCTCTGCAGCTCAACATGGCAGAACCATCTGTGCCCAGGCCCACCACCCAGCCAGGCTTCCGGAAAGGGATGTCCAGCTCATCCAGGGCAGAAACGATGGTCTCAAAGTACCCATCCACCGTCTCACTGTAGAGTGGGGCCAGTGTGATGTACGACTCCTTCACCTCCATCTGCTTAAAGTAGCGGATATAAATCCCCACACAGGCCTGGTCGGAGGTGTCTGTGGAGCTGTCCAGCAACACGCTCACGCAGGGGGACTTCCGCACGTCCTCAAGGATTTCCTTCTTTAGCGTCTCAGAGATGTATTTGATGAACTGAGTACATGCTGTGCGATTGCGGTACTTGCCTAAAATCATGGTCCCAGTGCTTTGGAGGAGTTGCAGGATCTTCTCAAAGTCATTCAGGGGCCTTGAGTGGTATGCAATAGAGTAGGCAGCATTGAAAAAGTGCTCCATGTTTGCCATGAGGTCGCTGGAGATCTCTGGGACGAGGGCAGTCTGAGGGATGTCATCTTGGATTTCAACAGTGTTGACACAGAGCCTGTGTGCTTTGCTGACTTCATGGTACTTTAAAGTCTCCACTTTAAAAGGCCCCGTGTAACCTCTAACTAACCGAGATGACTTGTCATGGAGATTAGGTCTTTCTTTGCAAGCTGAACAGAAGAGCTTGGTCTCTTTTGGGTCAATTACTAACCATGGAAACTGTCCAAACCACGACCTCTGAATTGAACGGGGTCTGTAAGTCCTCTTGATTTTCCTAGGTCCATCCACTACTACTTCACACACGCTGGAATTACAGTAGGAGGTATATGTCTCCACAGAAGGAGCTGGAAGCAATGAAGATTCTACAGCTGAGGTGCATGTGTCTACCTCTTTTACAGCCACCATCTTCTTTTTCCCTTTGGAGAAAATTAAATTGTGCTTGGTTTTGCTGCCAAGAATTCTGCTCTTCCATCAGCTAAGATACTCCCAAAGTCGGTAAGTTCCCCTCATACGAAACAGAGAAGACGAATATGATCTACCTTTCCAGAGATCATTAGTGGCTACTAGTTAAACTCTTCCCTACTCTTATCTGTGAAAGTTAATCTGGCTCCCCAAGAGTTGTTGCAATCCCTGTGAGTTCTTTTTTTTTTTTTTAAACAGGGTCTCACTCTGTTGCCCAGGCTCAAGTGCAGTGGCATGGCCACAGCTCACTACAGCCTCAACCTCCTGGGCTCAGATAATCCTTCTGCCTCAACCTCCCAAGTAGCTGGGACTATAGGCATGCACTACCACTCCCGGCTAATTTTTGTATTTTTTTGTAGAGACAAAGTCTTACTATGTTGCCCAGGCTGGTCTCAAACCTGGCTCAAGAGATTTTTCCACACTGGCCTCTCAAAGTGCTGGGATCACAGGTGTGAGTCACTGTACCTGGCCCCTGTGGGTTCTTCTGCCAGCCTCCTGCTGCCTGGTCACACAGCTACCCTATGATCATGTGACACCAGATGCTAATAAGTTCAGCTAACCATTCAGATACTGCTAGATAAACACGTGACTTTAATCCTCTTGTGAGGTTCCACATGGAAATGAGGTTAAACACCTGTAAGTCCTCTTGTGACTCAGAGGGAAGGGTGGTACAGAAGTACACAGAGTAGCCACCAGCCAAGAAGTTACTAGTAGAGATATGCAAAACCATGGATTCTCACAAACCAATTGTGCTATCACTGAGCACCCTCCAGGTCCCCTGGGTCCTTGAGACCAGTGTCTCCCCACATACCTGCTTCTCACCAGCTCTGCCACAGCCCCCTTCAGCACTTCTGCTCATCCAAGGACCTTCTTTTTCCATTTCCCAGACTACTCTACACCCTGCAGGCAGGGCTAGCTGCTTATTCATCTTGTCTATCCAGGGCCTAATGTCGGGCCTGGTACCCAGAAGGCCCAGGATGAGCATGGCTGAACTCATGTTATATGACTTGCCATAGCCACATGTGCATGTGCCTGTCAGAACTCATTTGGCCTAGACTCACCTGGAGGATGACCTTTCCCCCACTTTGGCCCATTTGGGTCCTTGATCCAGGGTGCAGCCCTCCGTTCCAGTTTGGAGATCAAGTCTGGTTTGGCTGCAGCAGGCCCTGTGGCAGGATGAAGAGTCATGCTGATATCACTGCTATAGCCATCATGTACAGTACCCTACCTCAAGCCAGATCTGGGTTCTGAAATGCACAGGGATGCTTCTGGGTTCTAACCTTATAGAGTTCAGTCAGCCAGGGGAAGACTGAGAGCACACCTGAACAGAGGGCCAGAGAGGTGGCAGGGTGAGGGTATACCCTTAGCCAGGATGTACCCTTAACTTCCTCAGCTCCATGGATTGGCCACGGGAGTTATAAGCCAGCCAAATGCATCCACGGGGGGAAGGGTGAGCATAGGAAGAAACAGAGAGGATAAAGCACAAGAAGGGAGAAGGCAGGGATGCAAAAGAAGGCCACACAAGAAGTAGAAGGTGCTACTCACAGCTGTCCCGTACATGTGCCTCTCAGTACACCCACAGCTACACCCACCTTTGTGCGGGTGGCGAACTACATGGGTTATTTGAAAGGGTACTTGGAAGTCCCCCTGAGAATATCTACTGCCCACAATGAAACCTGAAATCTGACCACAAGAGGTCTGTGTCTTTGGATTAAGCACTACTCTTTACCTAAAATATGAATATTATTCAGGAGCATACGAAGAAATCGCCTCCTTTGTTTAAAATAAAATCCAGCCAGGATCGGTGGCTCAGTCTATAATCCCAGCACTTTGGGAGGCTGAGGTGAGTGGATTGCTTGAGCCTGTGGGCTCAAGACTAGCCCAGGCAACTTGGTGAAACCTTGTTTTAACAGATCAAAAATTAGCTGGGCTTGGTATTGCATGCTTGTAGTTCTGGCTACTTGGAAGGCTGGGGTGGAAGGATTGCTGGAGCCCAGCAGGTTGACGCTGGTGTGGCCATGAGAATGCCACTGTATTCCAGCCTGGGTGACAGAGTGAGACTCCAACTCAAAAAATAAAAATAAAAAATAATAAATAAATAAAATCCATTACTATCGACTTACATGCTTTTGTATGTATCTATGTAAATGTGATAAACTTTCTTTGGAAGGCCATACAAGCAACTGACACCTGTGGGTGTTTCTAGGAGGAAGTGAAGGACAAGATAAAAGGGAGATTATTTTTCACTATTTACCTTTTGGGCCACTTGTATATTATATTTGTTATATATGTATGTGTATCTACATACTTACTACCAATAAAAATAGAAATAAATCACTAAAGTATGAGTAAATTGAAGCTATATCCTCTTAAAACACCTCTAAAATGAGAAAAAAGATATAATGACAGTAAAAAGAAGCATAAGCCCAAGAGAAATATGGGACTAGAAATACTAATACATCTTTGGAAGGAGGAAAGGATATAAAAGAGAGAGAAGAACTAGCAGGGCCAAACACCAAATGCCTGCAGGGGTAACAAGGAGAAGCAAGCCGGGCTCGGTGGCTCAGCCTGTAATCCCACGCCTTTGGGAGACTGAGGTGAGTGGATTGCCTGAGCCCATGGGTTTGAGACCCGCCTGGGCGGTGAGACCTCATTTCTACAATAAAATCAAAAAATCAGCCGGGCGTGGTAGCGCACGCCTGTAATTCTGGCTACTCGGAAGGCTGAGGCGGAAGGATTGCCGGAGTCCAGCAGGTCGAGGCTGCGGTGGCCGGGAGCGGCCACTGCACTCCAGTCTGGGTGACAGAGTGAGACTCCAACTCAAAAAAACCCCAAAAAAACAAAAACAAGGAGAAGCAAGTTGGCTTGTACCACAGCACTCCCTAAAGGAGCGGGAGAAGGTGGTGGGTGAGAAACAGGCTGTAGCAGGGGGTTGGCTCAAAGTCTGCAGAGACCCGCTGGAGTCCAGGTCCTTTCCCCTCTCCTAGGAAACACCATCTCACCTAGGAGTAGAACCGTGGTTTAGTCTACAGAAAAGCTTACTCAGAAAGGCTCTGGAGCCCAGCTGCTGGGTATGGTGAAAGGTGCAGAAGGATGGTACTGAAGATAGGGAGATGAAGTCAGGTCTGTAGGTGGGGGGTATACTGCTCGGTTGCAAGAGTGCTGGCTGGGCTTATTATATCCTCTAAGCAGGAGACAGAAAGAGTGTTCTTTGGAGAAATGGAATTGCCCCTCTTTCTTCCCTCAAAAGATCAGTGGATACTGACTTTTGCAGGCTTTTCAATGAGACATCAGGTTTAGAGCTGATCACCCTACAATGAAACCTACCTCTTGATGAGTCTCAGTGACGCATAGAGCATCTAGTCAGGTTTTTTTTTTTTTTTTGAGTCAGAGTCTCACTGTCACCCAGGCTGGAGTGCAGTGATACACTCAAAGTCACCGTAGCCTCAACCTGCTGGGCTCAGGTAATCTTCTGCTTCAGTTTTCCAAGTAGCTGGAAGTACAGGCATGTACCACCACGCCCGGCCAATTTTTTGATTTATTGTAGAGATGAAGTCTTGCCAAGTTGCCCAGGCTGGTCTCGAATGCATGGGCTCAGGCAATCCTCTCACCTCAGCCTCCCAAAGTGCTGGGATTATAGGTGTGAGTCACCACGCCCAGCCTCTAGTCAGTTTTTTAAGGCTTTACTCTTACATAGAAATGAACCTAGAGATAATTGCTTAAGAAAAAGTTCTAAGATGAAAGAAACCAAAACAAGCAGAAAAAAGGACTGAAATAACTAACGCAATTGCAGGGAGCAAAGCAAAACTTTAAAATAATGAGAACAGTATTCCCAGAGAGAAGAGTCATGATAGCCATCCATGAAAGGAGCAGTAAGAGTCCTTAGAAACTTTAAAACCCAAGAGAATAAAAAATAAATAGCATTGTTAGAAAATAAGACTGAAGAGATCTCCAAGAAAGTAGTACAAAAAAAGATACATGCAGGAAACAGGAGAAAACAAACAGAAAACCAGAGGCTCAATCCAAGAAGTCTAATATTGAACTAATAGGAATTTCTGGAAAAATGGAGAAAACAGGAAGAAATCATAGACAAAATAAGAACATTTCCCCAAACTAGAAAGTATAGTTTTCCACATGGAAGGGAAGCACTAGGCACCCAGAACAAAAGATTAATGAAACACCAATTTCAAGGCCTATTAAAATTTTGAGAACATTGAAAGAAATTTTTAAAAACCTTTGGAGTAGAAAAAATAGGTTGCATTTGAGGATTTAGGAATAAAAAGTTATTAGATGTCTCAACAGCACAGGGACATCTAAAACACCAATGCTTTTAAAATGCTGAGGAAAATTATTTCCAATCTAGAATTCTATGTTCAAACAAGTTATAAATCAACTGTGGCGTGATCACAGCTTACTTTAGCCTTCAATTCCTGCACTCAAGTAATCCTCCTGTGTCAGTCTCCCAAGTAGCTAGGACTACAGGTACACACCACCACACCTAGCTAGTATTTTTCTTTTAGTTGGAGTCGCACTCTGTCTCCCAGGCTGGAGTGCAGTGGCACGCTCACGGCCACTGCAGCCTCGACCTGCTGGGCTCAGGCGATCCTTTCACCTCAGCCTTCCAAGTAGCTGGGACTACAGGCACATACCACCATACTTGGCTAATTTTTAAATTTATTGTAGAGATGAGGTCTCACCAAGTTGCCCGGGCTGGTCTGGAACCCATGGGCTCAGGCAATCCTCTCACCTCAGCCTCCCAAAGTGCTCGGATTATAGGCGTGAGCCACTGTGCCTGGCCTTACCTGGCTAGTTTTTTAAAATTTTTTTATAGAGGCAAGGTCTTGCTATGTTGCCCAGGCTGGTCTTGAACTCTTGGGCTCAAGCAATCCTCCTACATCTGCCTCCCAAAGTGCTGGAATTATAGGCGTGAGCCACGGCACTGGGTCAATCCCTGCATGTTTACTTAGGAAGCAACTAGAAGAAGTGCTCCAACAAAATGAAGATGTAAACCACAAAAGAAGAGAAATACTGAGGAAATGGAGGAACAACAAGTCTGAGGCCAGAGGTGTGCCACAGGCCTAAAGAGTGACTAGGTTAGATAGAGCAGGGAAGGGAATGCCCAGTGAGGGAAGTTTCCAGAAAGAAAATGAAACAGAGATTGCAGGATATTCAACCATGTGAAGTGCTATGATACCACTGGAGAGTTCAGGGATAATTGGTAAAAGTATAGAAAATTAGCTAAATTAAAAAGTAAGAACAAATTCCAATTTCAAGGGAAAAAGTCCTACAATGAAGGAAATACCATAATAAACCACTTTGCTCAGCAGTAAAACATAATCATAACTAGGCAAAAAATTTACATTGATTTAACCAAAAAAGTGTGGTATACCTGTTGTGAGATGATAGAGGGAAGAGAAGTGATTCCATAGTAGGAATCAATAGATAATATCTAAAATCAATAGATCAGGAATAGCAATAACCATATGCAGCAGGATATAAAAGGGTGATTCTGGCTGTCTGCTTAGGCTGAAGGTACCAAAAAGTGGGAGCCAGTAATCCCTCATTCCAAAGCTAGACCACCAAAGCACAACCTGGAAAGAGGAAGGCTGAGAACCTGGTGCTGTGACCTTAGCCCTCACCTAGTGACAGGAGGTCAAAGATCTGAGACAGAAGAGGTCAGGAAGCTGGGTATTAGGTATGTTTCTGGAAAGCGTTGTCAAATGTATTGTGAGTTCTTTTCTCCACCTGTGGGGAGGAATGGGGTACACTCTTCTCCCTAACCTTCCCTGTAAATCCTGGAGCTGTGGGGCTAGCCATGAAACCAGGCCTGGGAAAGACTAAAGCAGACACTGACTGATTTGAGGTGGCCATGCTGGGGATGTCCCACATTCCCAGAGTTTGTCTGAGCAAAGGATCTATAAATACATATGTTTTCATGGTCCAGATGTGGGGCATGCAGAGAAAGTAGCCTGGAGTCATCTCAAAGGGACTCTGCCTGAGATGGCTGTTGGTGGGATGCTCTCCCATGAAGGAACCCACACAGGAGAGAGAAGACATCCACCCGTCAAGGCAACTGCAAGTGTCTTGTGCCCAGTGACCAGAGAGGGGACTCTACAGAACTCATAAACACACCCAAACAATCAGCTTTAAATGATCACAGCTCCAA